TATTTTATTATTATATCACATTACATTATAACAATATTATTAATTTCATTTGTCGATTCAATGTATAATTTCTTTTCACCTGTAAATATTTATATTGCATGGAGCTTGGATTAATTGTGTTTGACTATTCATTTCATTAATGATGGAAATATATTGGGATACAATTTTTTGTATTTATATCACGGCGTTAACAGGAGATATCTGAACTCCCAACACCATGAGAACAAACATGAGAAACAGCAGATTTAATATAGAGAAAAGAGTCTTTTTACACTTGGAGCGGATCAAGTGCTGGATCCCTGAAGTTTACTCAGAATTGCAACTAATGTAGTTTTAAGAGTGTTTGTGCTTCTAGCCTTTTCTGAAAATTCTTTGTATTTAAAATGTGCTCTTACTCAGAGCACAAGAGATGTCTTCCCCTTGTTACATGCGCTCTGTTCACAAATGTTAGTGCTGCCCTAATGTTAGGATATTGCAGACAGTCTTAAAGATTAGATTTTTTAGATTAGATTCAACTTTATTGTCATTATACATGTACAAGTACAAGTACAACGAAATGCAGTTAGGTCTAACCAGAAGTGCAAAAAGCAGCAAGTGCAGGATATAGGTATAAGTTATAGGATATGTACAGGGAGAAGGATATTTACAGATGAAGTACTGTGAGCATAGTTAAAGATGATAAATAACTACAATTAGAATGTACAAATAGATGAACATAATATAAAGAATAGATTTATCACAGATTTACAATATGTATATGTACGATGAAAATGTGTATTTACAAATGGGTATGTACAGTGTAATACAAAGAGTATTAAATAGTGCAATGGTAATGGGGAGAGTAAAGAGGGGGGGGGGTTTAGAGGTGTCAGTGGGGGGTAGAGTTCAATAAGGAGACAGCTCTGGGAAAGAAGCTGTTCCTCAGTCTGCTGGTTTTAGTCCTGTGGCATCTGAAGCGCCTGCCGGAAGGCAGGAGAGAAAACAGTTTGTGGGCAGGGTGAGAGGAATCCTTAATAATACTGTGTGCTCGACGCAGACAGTGCTTCCTCTGGATGTCCTCAATGGATGGAAGTTGACTCCCTATGATGCGTTGGGCAGTTTTCACCACCCGCTGCAGTGCCTTACGCTCCGCAACAGAGCAGCTTCCGTACCAGACTGTGACACAGTTTGTAAGGATGCTTTCTATCGTGCAGCGATAGAAGTTCACCAGGATGGCTGAGGACAGCTGGTTCTTCTTGAGTGTTCTCAGGAAGAACAGGCGCTGGTGAGCCTACTTGACCAGGCTGGAGGTGTTGGTAGTCCATGTTAGGTCTTCTGAAATATGTGTACCCAGGAATTTGAAGGAAGAAACAGGCTCAACAGTCCTCCCGTTGATGTAGATGGGTTCGTGTGAACCTCTTCTTCCCTTCCTGAAGTCCACAATGAGCTCCTTTGTCTTGGTAGTGTTAAGGAGCAGATTATTGTCCGTGCACCATGTGGCCAGGTGCTGAATCTCTTCCCTGTAGGCAGTCTCATCGTTGTTGCTGATGAGACCGATCACTGTAGTGTCGTCTGCAAACTTGATGATGGAGTTTGATCCATAGACAGGCTTGCAGTCGTGGGTGAAGAGGGAGTAGAGGAAGGGGCTCAGCACACAGCCCTGTGGTACACCAGTGTTGAGCGTAACAGTGGTGGAGCAGATGTGACCTGATCTAACATGCTGAGGTCTGTTGGTCAGAAAGTCCATAATCCAGTTGCACAGTGAGGTGTTAATGTCCAGGTCTCTAAGTTTGGTGATTAACTTAGATGGTCTGACAGTGTTGAATGCTGAGCTGAAATCAGCAAACAGTATTCGTGCATAAGTGTTTGTATTGTCCAGGTGTTTGAGTACAGAGTGCAATGCTATGGAGACTGCATCATCTGTGCTCCTATTGCCACGGTAGGCAAACTGGTGTGGATCCAGTGAGGGTTGAAGAGAGAAACCATTTGTTCAGTTTGTGTTTAAAATAACCACGTAAACATCAACATAGTTAGCGTTTTTATTTCGGCCCACCTCCTTTAGTGAATCTTTTAATAGGTATATGCATATATTCCTCCCACAAATTTTCAATAATCTCCCCAAATGGCACGTCTGATCAAATAAAATAAGCAACATCTATGTGTGCTGTTATGTAACTATGTTTGTTTCCTTCATTTTTTAATTTGCATTAAGGTTTCATCAAAATCTTGTCGTCGTTTATGCTTGGCCAATCATAATTGCTATGGCTTATAAAACTTATAAACCATAAGTTATAAAACTTACCATAGGACTACATTCCCCAGAACCACCTTCTTGAACAACATCCATTCTGATTGGCTGATTGTGAAGGTGAAAGTTCAACAGACATGGTTCTCAACCTTCTGCGGTAAACAGCTGAAGTTAAAACGATTATTTTGCATTGTTCTATCATTGTTTTCGTACGACTTCACATTCGTAACAATTTATACGGGGATTATATTCTTTTACGTGACAAAAGAAGGTGCGTCTGTTGTGCTTTGATAGCTTCTTTGGCCAGATCACCAGCAGAATAACGTTAGCAGCTTGGGATAGCAACTGTTAAAGAGGTCATATTAATGACTGTTTATTTTGACATACTATGTCCCCGATCCAAGTGACTCGATAAACACTTCTAGGGCTTATAATGGCAGCGCTGCTTTTGCTGCGTGGAAGCAGAACATGCGACAAATGGCTTTGGTCTCGTTTCGGCTGTTTGCAAACCAACAGAAAACTACTGGAGGGCAGTGGCGCATTAAAACCAGCTCCAATGACTCTAAACAAACGATCAAGACATCATCAGGTTGGTCATCGTTTGCTTAAATAACAGATATTTGTTTCCCAGTGTTAAATATACAATATCAAAATAAATAGACGTTGGGCAAGGACATGCATAACAGTTACGCACATATAATTAACAATATCATAGTAAAAACGTGTATTATGAGAGTGTTTTTAACCCTTTATTATTGTTTCTAGAATGTAATACAGAATGGAGGTAAGTATAAAATAAAGTAAGATCTAGAAATGCATGCATGAATAAGGTAACAAAAAACCATAAAGACCCATTAGCTCACGTTTAAATTTCTAAATTAGGAGATCATCAAATAAACATATTTCAAATTTGGAAATAAACAAATGGAGAATTAATAAATAAAAGTTTCAGGGCAAGTTTATGTGTATATCGTATTCTGTACACAGGGTAATTCAAAGTGCTTTACATTGTAAACAAAGAATAAAAAGAAATTACATTTAATAAAAACAAGTCATATAAAAGCATTATGATTAAAGAGAATACGTATGTTTTGAAACGTAGAAATATATTATTTTTTTCTATTCATGCATTTAGTCCTACTTTTGAGAAAGAGCCAACTCTGAGAAAGAGATACTTAATGATCCATTTTCTTAAATTTTCCCCCCAAATCTGCACAGGAAAATGCTAAATAAAAATTCAGAGAGGGACCAAATGCACTCTGAACAGAGTTAAAATAGACTGTTTAGGTATTTTTGATCATTAGTGATGATGAGCATTTAATCTAGCCACAGGGGTTGCAAGCCAGTGACTTCTGTGCCGGTCCCAAGCCCGGATAAATAGAGAGGGTTGCGTCAGGAAGGGCATCCGGCGTAAAATATGCCAAAACCAAATATGCGAGTCACCAAATCGATGAAAAGGATGATTCGCTGTGGCGACCCCTAAACTGGGATCAGCCGAAAGTAAAAGAAGAAGTGATGATGAGCATTTATGATTAATAAGCATATAGAAACATAATACAAAAACAAACGCTACGCTACTAAAAGATGGAATTTTGATTCACAGATTAGGAAAAAATGTATGAAATTTCAGATCTCATCTACCTGAGAACATCTTCAAAAAAATCAATGCATATAAATCTCTGAAAATGTCTCTTTGTTTACATCCTGTGTATCTTGGCTATTTAAAAATGCACCCTCTAGGGGCAAAATGAATGGAACAGTTGCATTAATAATAATTTCTAATCTGTATTCTATATTTTAGATTCTATATTTTTGAAAACTGATTGTGATGTTTTAAAAAGCTTATCTTGTTTCTTTTATTATTTGATTATAACATCCACTTACTGTGGTTCTATTTTACAGAATATTTTGACAAGGCCTTTCATCCCAAGGCTTCTTGGAGTGGAATCCCACTGTTCACACAGTGTACTCTTCTATCATTCGAAACTATGGAAGTTATTGGGTAACTATTTGCATTAGTTGTTTTGGCTGAACTACAAGGTGTGCTCAAAGTAACAATCTCTTAACACAAGCCATTTGAATACACAAGCAATGAATACAATGTGTTGGTCAGGAATGAAGGGGAAAATGTTTTTCGGACATTTGCTCTATGGTTCACTCATAAAGTTACAAGCACACAGCAGTAAAACAAACAAAAATGGTGATGTACCCAGAGGATAGGGTACCCGAGGGGAAAAATATAAAATTTTCTCTCTCACACACACTCACATACTACAAGCCTACTGATGCGATCCCAAAGTTAGACTGCAGTGTCTCTGGATGTGATCTGGCTTCAAAACACTCTTGGCTAACAGCAGAGAAAGTATGGCCCCTTGACAGGTAGCTGGTAGATGAATATCTGGCAATTTTTGAGGCCTTCTTGCGTGACCTTTGGACATTTGTGATGTGTTCCTTGCTGCTTTGTTTGAACACAAGTCCACTGTTTTAGCTGACACTTAACTTACGACAGACCAATATTCGCCACAAGTTAAGATCAAGCTTTTTTTTTTATTTTGTTTGCTTGTCAATAAGAAGAATCACAAACAACTACGTCTTGCAATCAAATGCACACACAAAGATTTTGTTTTGTTTGCAAGCCTACTTCAGGGGGACAGGGAGAGAAGCAGGAAAGGAGATGTGGAAGGATGGCAAATGACAATGGGTTCATGACTAAACCCACATCGACCTGCACAACTGTGCATACATGTCTGGTGCACATCTTTCTTTCTCTCTATCTTTCCTGTGGCTCAGTTGGTAGGGCATTGCACTAACAACGCAAACTCGCAAAGGTCATGAATTCAAATCCCGGGTAAAGAAAGAACTAAAAACATTGTTTGATTAAAGCATCTGCCAAATGCATGAATGCAATGTAATGTAACGTATTGTTTTAGGCAATTCACAGCTATCATTTAATTAGTAGTAGTAGGCTTTTATTGTCATTTCTACCATATACAGTTAAGTAAACAGTGAAATGAAACAGTGTTCCTCCAGAACCACGGTGCTGTATACATATAACATACATTAACAGACAATTTTAGACTGAAAACAAAAAGCTTGCATATATACAAGATAAACATGATAAATAAATACAAAAACAGTAAACATGATATGCTACATAAGTGTTATGTACAAAATCTACAAAATTAGACATGTTTGCTTTTGTCTGTGGGAGGTCCTCCTAAAAATACCCTCAGAAAGATGACTGAAATTGGACTTTGTGCCAGACATGTATCCACAGTTGTGCAGGTCGATGTGGGTTATAGTCAGGAACTCATTGTCATTTGCCATCCTTCCACATCACTTTTCCTCCTTCTCCCCTGAACTGTCTGTTCAGAATAAAGGCATAAAAGCCAAAAAGAAAGATGGCCGAAATTCATTCTGAAAACATGTACTTTGAACAAGACATTTTATTTTCAGTTTCCCTTTAAAGATTTAAATTTAGTTTAGAAATAATGAATTCCTGTCCCCAAAATGTCTTCTCTGAAGGATAAATATTTAAATCTTTTCAGGGTCTACGTGTTATTTCAGCACATCCAACAGAAGACATCAAAAGAATGAGGGTGGAAAAGGGAAGACTCCAGAGGAAGAGGAAGGTAATTTAGGAAGGAATTGTTTACAATACAAAATGTGTATTTGGAAACACGCACTCATACACTCTCCAAAATATCCTGGTTTGTAATTATTATTATTTGCGTCACCATCGCAAATGTACATAAATAATCCCGAATCCTTAAATACACGGTTGACGTGAACTAATAATTTACACAACGGGCTTAGGAGATATTAATTGGATGATGTGTTCTGAGAAATCAAGCATTGAGTGCTTAATATTCTAACACGTATGAGCTGATAGAAAAAAAGAGAAAACCCTGAACAGTCAATTTCTTTTACTTCTTTGTATATAAGGGTTTTTCGCTGCGTGTCTCCATAAAGCGAAAGGTATGGCTCACGCAAGACAAGTTACCATTGCTCATAACTAAAAGTTCATAACTCAAAATGGTTTGACTTCTTCTATAAAATAACCAGAAAATGTGTTCTAGTTGAGTGATCTAGTACCTTGATTTACAGTGACAGGTCAATTCTTTATAAACACGAAGAAGGCTTATGTTGGAAATAAATAAAAATACTGTGTATATGTAATATTTGTGTATTTAAATCTATAAAGTTAATTGTTTTCTTTAATTTTGACTATAGCTGTGCCAGTCAAAGGTCATGACCAAAAAAAAATTTTTTTTTTTTCATTGCTAAACTTTCCATTCAATAGAAGAGAAGAAACGAAGGGAAGATGCTCAGACGTATCGGGAGCGACTGCGAAAACTCGTTTTCATTGCTATAATCCTGAGCTTTCTCAACTCCATTAATACCAATGTCGCAAACATATCCTGGAATGATTTTGTGAATGAAATGCTGGCCAAAGGAGAGGTTTCACGAGTTCAGGTGGTACCAGAGAAGGACGTGGTGGAGATCTACCTTCATCCTGGTGCGGTCATCTTCGGCAAGCCTGTAAGTCACTACCCAATGGCATAAATGAAATATTACCGGTACTTTGTATTCAATTCAGTTATTCCCTGTTTTCTTTTTGTAGAAATCTTCTCTGATGTACCAAATGCAGATCGCCAACATTGACAAGTTTGAGGAGAAGCTTAGAACGGCAGAGGAAGAGTTGAACATTGATAAGAAAGACAGAATCCTGGTCACCTATAAGCACAGAGGTTTTTTTGGGAAGTAAGTCATTCGGATGTTTTACAGTGCGTGCAATCTTGACGTAAGATAACACAATTTCATTTCTTTCACAGCGCAATTTTTGCTCTTGGTATGGCTGCCATTGGAGTCGCTATCCTCTGGTACATTTTACGCTTAGCAGGCCTCAGTGGCAGAGATGGTGGCTTAAGTCGATTTGTGAGTCAAACATTATAGTTTTGTTCAATGTGTGTGAAAGTAACCAACTGTGTAATTAAAACAACTACTAACTGGTTTCTTAGTTTCCCTGATGTTATATTTCAAGGGTTAAGGTCTAAGATCTCATCTTGCATTGAGTTAAAGACCTTAGGCAAATGAGATAATTTTTTTGATCTGCTCCAATCGTTCTAGTCTTTGTCAAAATTGGTTATTTGGAATATGTTGGAGCATCTGCTCCATGCTAACAACATTTATAATAGAAACTATAACTATATAATTATTGAGGAAGGCATCTAAAACAAAATCTGCGATTAAAGTCTCTTCAGAAGAAAATCTGAACATAAAAGCATAATCAGCTTGGTAGTGTAGTAGAACAAAATATTCTGAATACTATCATTCTGAGATAGAACAGGAAGTTACATCACAGTTAGACTCTATAAGTCAGGGTGTTGTAGATCCTACTACCTCTCTTCTTTCCTAAACCTTCTTTACTTAGCTGTGTAGTATTCAACGTGTAATAAATTTGTATTTTCTATAATGCCTTCTTAAACATTGCTTCCAGCGTCTTCATAATAACTGATTATCACAATATTTTGGTAACACTAGATAACAGTGTTTTCCATCTTTTACAAAAAATCCTAAGGGCATTTCTAAGAAGGAACAGGAGACAAAGAATGGCTGACCGCACATTTGGGGATCTGTGAGCAAAACTAGTGAGGGAATGATGTTCTATAACTTGAGCACAGAGCTAAGAGAGAATGAAGCATTTCATGTGGTAGAAAAAGTTTTGAATGAGGCCTCGATCCATATCTTCCAAAAGGAAAGTTTTATTATATGTTGCATAATTTCAAGGCATCATAAGCTTGGAGAAAAGGAAGACACGTTGGAATCTTCTCCTCTATCTGTTCACTGTTCTGTCTCGAAATACTTAGGCAAGTCCTGTTGCTGTGGACACATGCAAGTAGTTTCCAATGTCAACCAATCATACGTAGTTGTTTGAAGTACAAGCTATTAAAAGAACACAACAATATTGCTTCTCAAAATTCTTCCCAACTTAATAATTACTATAATATTCTAGCTGAGTTATATGTAGTATAATTTTTTTGGGCCTATTATTGGTTTGCATGACCCGTGTTGGCTGTTGCTTTAATTAGGGGTGTTTTAAAATTTGATGCCAAGCTTTTGTCTGTACCACCAGAACCAACTTAAAATGGCTACATTCACAATTGTTGATGGCAAATCTGGGAAAGGCATAAGCTTCAAAGATGTTGCTGGAATGCGAGAAGCCAAGATGGAAATTAAAGAATTTGTGGATTATCTCAAGGTAAGAGAATGCAAAACTGAACATTTGAAATAATCTTTGTAATCTTCTGTTTCTTTGGAATGGTGTGTTCCAGAGACAAAGAGTCTTTAAATGAGGAGTTTGGTTCCAAATCAAAGGGCATTTTTTATCATTAAAAAGCACATATAAAAAAGCACAATACTTGCAATGTAGTGCACTCTTGTTATTTTTCCAAACCTTTTTAAATGGCAGTTCACTTTTTTCACAAAAAGCCATAACTCCATTAAAACTCCATTAAAAGCTCAATGCAAGGAAGATGAGGGCCTGAAGAGGTTGAAAAATGCGGCTGTTGCCTGCAGCAAACGTTTTGAATCGTTTTATAATTATTCCACGAAGGCGGAACAGAATCAGGCCGTTTTCCAGCAGATCGCAGTCAATAAAGTCCACCAGAGATGTCCAAAAGTCACAGTAAAGTAAAATGAAAACATTTACAATGATGCCTTGGATTAATAGCGTTCGGAAGGCCACAGAGTTATAGCATTTTGGAAAAAAAAATAAACTTTTTTTAGAATGAATCTTTAAACATTAAAATCTAGATTTGAAATTTTTATGTTTGTATGACTGACTTTGAGGTGCTTTATGAAAGTTTGGAACAGAAAACATAGATTTTCTTCAAACCACTTTCGTGTTTTTCGAATGTGAGACATGGCTTTTGGAATAAAGTCTTGGAAACATTTGGAAAAAATATCTTTTTTTATACAATTTATTCACTAATATTTTTCTGAAACAATAATGAGCCATTGCAACCTTTTACATCAAAGTGGGAATTGTGCCTGCTGCTCATCACTTACAAATATGCAGCAGTGGAGCATAGTTAATGCTGTTAAAATGGTTTTTATGAAAAAAAATTCTCGTAAACTTTCTCTGCTAATCAGTTAACCGAAACGTTTTAACTAGCTAGCAGTAGACATCGTCCTGCTAAAGCATACATGCGTTTTGTTCTGAAAATATCAGGTTTTTAAATACAGTTTAATCATGTTCCTGGTGAGTAAAGGCATTTTGAGGTAAGTAACAGGAAATACATCTCTTTGGGAATTCTGAAATTAAAGAGAAAATTTCAGAATTTTTGTCCCTTTTTTTACAGTCAGCTTTTACACACGTTCTCACCCCAACATTTTGCTGCAAGAAAGCGACAGAGCCCTAAATGGGATTTTTTTAATGCAACATTTTCCCCTTGGTGTAGTTGGTAAAAAGTCATCATAACCATTGTAAATGATCATCCATGTTATCGTTTGGATTTTCAGAATCCAGACAGATTCCTTCAGCTTGGGGCTAAGGTACCTAAGGGCTCTCTGCTACTGGGTCCCCCCGGCTGTGGAAAAACTTTGCTTGCCAAGGCAGTTGCAACAGAGGCTCAGGTGCCCTTCCTTGCTATGGCAGGGTCAGAGTTCGTGGAGGTGATTGGAGGCAAGTTTTTGAGAGGAGTTTGTATTCTGAGCACATGGTCCCTTGATCTCTGATCTTCTGATGTAAATCCAAATCTTTTTTTACTCCCAGGCCTTGGTGCTGCAAGGGTACGAAGTCTTTTTAAAGAAGCTCGTGCTCGGGCACCATGTATCGTCTACATCGACGAGAT